CATTTTAACCCAAATTAAATCATGGAAATGACCATCATGAACACGACGAAAGCAAAGGCTCCGCAGCCAGAGCTGCCAGACCGCGACAAATGGCTCTCCAGGGAAACGGGGCGCAGCCTCCTCTCCTGGAAGTCGGGGAAAGGGTCTCTCCACCAACCAGGGGCGGGAGGCAGAGCCTGCGCTGCCGGATTTAGCCTGGAAGTTGAAATCGCTGAAGCAGTTTATAGAAACACCAGAGTGAGCCGCCGCGCAGTCGGCAGGCAGGATCCAGAGACGGTGGCAACAATGTTTCAAATGTGCTCAGGGTAATTAGTTTTGAATTACCATGTGCATATTTTAAACATTTAAATGATCATCCCAGGTTTTCCAAAACAGTTTCACGCGGCTTGATGTCGCCTCCCCGCCCCGGGCGGCCTCTCCCCGGGACGTAGCCGCCGGCTGCGCCCGGACCCGCCAGGTGGAGCGTTCAGGTCCCGCGGCCTCCGCCGGGAGGGGCGCGCGCTAAGCCCCGGTCTCAGGGCGGAGGAGGCCGCAGCCCCGAGTCCTGGCACAGCCTCTCGCCCAGGACTTTCCCTCCCTAAAGCCTGTGCCAGGTTTTCAACACGCTCTGCTCAGATTTTAAGTCTCCCATTGTGCATGAAAATGCAATTCCCAGGCTGGGCGCGGTGGCTCACGCCTGTAATCCCAGCACTTTAGGAGGCTGAGGCAGGTGGATCACCTGAGGTCAGAAGTTCGAGACCAGCCTGACCAACATGGTGAAATCCCATATATACCTAAAATACAAAAATTAGCCGGGCATGGTGGTGTGCGCCTGTAATCCCAGTTTCTTGGGAGGCTGAGGCAGGAGAATCGGTTGAACCCGGGAGGTGGAGGTTGCAGTGAGCCGAGATCCCGCCACTGCACTCCAGCCTGGGTGACAGAGCAAGACTCTCTCTCAAAAAAAAAAAAAAAAAAAAGAAAGAAAGAAAGAAAATGCGATTCCAGGCGGGCAGCTTTGTCTCCCCCGTGTGATTTCCCGGAGACCCGGAGGTCCTGGGAAGCTTGAAAGGGACTGGCCGGATGGGAGCCGCGTCTGGTGTTTGAAGCCAGCGACCTTGTCCCAAGTCTCTCGGGGCAAACGGCCTTCCAGCAGTTCAGCACCACCATTCTCACCGGGGTTTGGCTCAGAATGCAAACGACAGTTTCCAAATTCCCTAATTCCGGAAACGCTGGGAGGGACAAAGGTTTCAGGCCTCGACTCCTGCGCCTTCCCAGGAGGCTGCAGGCGCTGATGATCCAGGCTTGGGCTTCCCACCCAGGCCCCGGCGGCCGGGGTGTGTCAAGTCAGGTCTGTAACTTCAGGAACCCGAATTTAGCAGCATGGTGTCTGGGAAACCCGCCCTGCCTCTCCTTCCTCTGGGTTACAAGCTGTTTCTCCAGCAGGTGGAGCTGGGAGAATAAAAACTCTGAGCCGGTGCCTGGGACCTTGGAGAGGAAGCTATCTGTGCCGAAATCCTGATTGAATGAAAATTGTTCATTATGCAAAGCGTCGGGTTCAGTACGCAGAGGCAGCCCCCAGGCACGAACCCCAAGTAGCTGCTTTTTCTCTCCCCAGATTAAAACATATGAACTGCTTTGATGTAACCTTATAACAAAGCCTAATAGAAATTTTATTTCTTTGAAGTTGCCTGTCATTTCTTCTTGTCCCCCCCCCCCTCCATCCTATTAATACCCGTACTGTCTGGGATATGTAGCCGAGTTTAGATCACATTTGAGGATGAGAACAGTGTGTTTTCCACGGCAGTGGCCTGACATTAAATACAGTTACACTGCTTGCAGTATGTTTAATCTCTTGGGGGTTCCCCCCCACACACACACTGCTATTTATCATGTTAATAGAATGCTACAGAATATCACATTATGCAATGTGTTTAAATTGATAAATTATATTAGAAAAATATTGGCTAGGAGTTTTAATGGTAAGTGGGTTTTTGTAGAAATCATTTCTCATTAGTAGATCAGCTGCTCACAGGGTGGAAATTGTAAGGATTTGGGAATACGCTATATTTATGACCTATTTGGCTAATTAAAATTAAAGCATAATTTTAGCATGAAGTTACTGCAAGACTTTCCAGAGAGGGTGGAGAAAGAAACTTGCCCAAATCCAGTTACTTTTAAATGTCAGTTGCCATAACAACTTCACACGAGCCATATTTTCACTTGAAAATTCCTTTTAGGATTCGGTTGCTATAATAATTTGCCTTAGCTCTTTTTAGGAGACACATTTTCCAATTTTCCTTCTGTGATGATTTCAAGACTTCCATCACTGTAACAAAAATGACCATGTAAACCTCAACTCTTCCTTTCTCTGTGTCCAAGAGCAGAGTGGCCCCAAACATAGAAATACAGGTTACCAGGAGGTATTCTGGAGGAAGCCTCCCCCAGGCCTTGGGGAGGGGGCCAGACTTGGGGATTCGTTGTTGCAGGAGACATTTCCCTTCTTGGGGGGAATTATGAAGCCAACAGAATTGTTTGAAGTGTTCGTATTAAGCTTTTCTGTGTCCTGGGAGTTTTGCATGAGGCAAAGGCCAGTCTGACCGTCTCAAGGAAGAATGAGTCTACTCATGTATTATGAAGGCCCACTGGGGCCGCCAGCTTGTCATTCAGTGGAACTACTGGTATTTGACCAGCGAGTGAGGCAATCCCCAAAGCATTTACTTAGAAGCAAAGTGGTAGCAGAGTAAAGTTCAGCCGCCTTTCTTTAGCTGTTTAACTGCTAACCTTAATTCATTAGCCAATATGACCTCCGAGAAGCCCGTGCATCTACGCTGTGTACTGGCCACGGGCACACCGGGGGGACTAGTTTCTGCCGGCCTTCAAGATCTTTCTGGGCCAGCAGCGTCATTGCTGAGGGCAAGCTCGGGGTCCCGAGGAAAAGATCTGGCGAGTGGGAAGAACGTTTCGTTTCAAAACGCTTCTGGTTCCTCCTTCCCGAAGGAGCGTGGCTGCCCTTGCTGATGGGTGTCCCTGGCAGAAGCTGTAATCGAGTCTCTGGCCTTCGGGATACTGTAGCTCCTCTCTTGGGAATTGCCATGGTCCCGCCTCTCCCTTTTCCATCTTCTCTCCTCCTACGTCAGCTCTTCCGTGGGATCTCCAACGGCCACATCTTTTTGGGGACTCCAAAGCTCGAAAGTGGACAGTGGGCCCAGGCGCAGTGGCTCCCACCTGTAATCCCAGCACTTTGGTAGGCTGAGTCGGGTGGATCACGAGGTCAGGAGTTCGAGACCAGCCTGGCCAACATGGTCTCGAAACCTCGTCTCTACTTTAAATACAAGAATTAGCTGGGCATGGTGGCGCATGCTTGTAGTCCTGGCTACTTGGGAGGCTGAGGCAGGAGAATCGCTTGAACCCAGGAGGTGGAGGTTG